GGAACAGCTGGTCACAGCCATCAGGAGATACCGAGGTTTGACCGGGTGTTGAGTTAGCAATCTGTAAGGATCTGCCATCCCCGCAATTCTACTCCATTTTGAGATTCTATGAGAAAAAACCTTTTGTTGGCTACACTTGTGACCATTTTAAACCATAATCCTGGCTGGAAAGCAGGACTTAGGCTATTACTGTTACTCTCTGTTTTAAGATTTCCTCTGTTTAGTGTAGTTGTCATTCGTTTTGGTCATAGTGTTTTCATGCGATATTTCCGGAGTGGCTACTGTGTGCCTCACACTGTGCTTTACCTATGCAATTGCATTCAACTTTCACATTCGTGCATCATAGCATTATTATTATTTCCATTTTATGGATGAGGAAACGGAGGCAAAGAGAGGTAAAGCAACTTGCTCAATGTCACAGAGCTCATAGTGTGGTGGAGATTTTGGCTGTCAACTCTTTAACCTCCATTTGACTCCTCCCCAATTACGTACAAAAATGTGACCTTGGGAATGACCTCTTCTCTAAAGACAGTTTCTGATTAGTCTAAGCCAACAATCATAAGAAAAAAATTTTAAATTAACATTTTTCCTATTTGTTATAACTGGTATGATGATTTGGAACTTGCTCATGTGTTTTTGGGGGTTAATTGTCTGAGGAAATGACCTTGGCCCTGGTGGGACCAGGCCATCTGTCTGCCTGGGTGGGTGGGGTGGAAAAACACGAGGAGGGGGCACGGAGATTGGAAATCTTACATATAAAATGCAAAGACAAAGGTGCAGGTAATAATCTCTCCCAAAGTTGCAAATAAAATTGTCTTTGGCCGGAAGACAGCTATTGTTTTCAGGAGGGATTTTCTAAATTCCTTAATTTCCCCCTAAAATACACAAAGGAAAAGGTCTTGCTTTCTAGACTAGGAATGAGACAGCCTGCTTACTCGGCTTGTGTCCCTGCCATGTAACGGGTAGTAAACCGAACATCCCACCCTGGAAGGGGTTCCAGCCCCGAGGAGTGAGGGGAAGAGGACAAGCGGACGGGAGACCAAAGGGCGCCGGCGCAGGGGTGGCGGCAGGCAGCTGCGCCTGTCATCTCCTGGGTTGAAACTTCTGAGAGAGGACATGCGTTAAAAGCAGCCAGAGAAGTTTCAGGGAGTCTGAGGGCTGGGGCCTTGCCCTTATTTCACGGGCACAGCTTGGGACAATTGTAGTCTTTCTAGAGAGGCCCTCCATACCTCAGACTCTGGAAAAACTTGGGGGCCTGCAGCCTGAAGATCAGAGATGGCTGAGGGAGGCTTGTGGTAGCAGAGAATTCCCAGTTTCCCGAAGTGCCAAGGCTGGAGCGACAGGCAGTCTGGAGAATCCCAGGGCCTGGACGACAGAGTAGGTCACAGAAAATGGTCAAGGGAGGGAGGCTGGCTAGTTTCCCCCTGACCCCCTCAGGCCTGCTCGTGGACTGGAGGACCGTGTCAGTGGAATGAGTAGAGACTTGGCCTCTGTAAGACCCTTGAAGTCAGGAAGTTGAGGGAGGGATGTTTGTATGGGTACATGAAGACGGGTACAGGGCCCAAGGTCAAGGCAGCCTGAGATCCCTAAGGACCAGCACTCAGCCATAGACCCCCTGGCCACCTTCTCCCTGGCACATACAACGCTCCCTTCCTTCCAACCAACCAATCTACCCTGCTTTTTCTCTCCCCCAAGAACCCCATCTTGCCCCACCAAAGCCAGGAGGAGGGGAAACTACACTCCTTTCTCCACACTCCAGACCCCGTCCAGACCTCACCCGGACCACACTAGGCCAGCTGGATGGCTGAGAACCCGAAATTGAGCATTATCTGGAGCAGCACTGTCCAATAGAAGATTTTAGAAGGATAAAGATGTTCTAAATGTCCAGTATGCTATCCATGAGCCACATGTGGCTATTAAACACTTGAAATGTGACTAGTGACTGAGGAAGTGAAATTTTTTTCCAATTTTAATTGTTGTTTTTTTCTTGTAAAAAACAATATAATAGCATTAAAGGAGAATTTAAAATAGAAAACAGTATCACTCATAATCTTTACACCCTAACATAAAGTTATTTGCATATTCTCTTTGAGTCTTTGTTCTCTTCTATACCTATTTTTATGTTTTTTGAATCATATAACACATATAAGATAAAAATTAACTTTTAATTATTTTACTTTTAAGGATATCGAGGAAGAGAGCTAAAATATTTCTGAGTAAAGGGTAGTAAAAATAAACTTTTCTTTTGTATTTTTTGAGAATTATTTTAAAGAGTCTAAAGGAAAATCAGTGAATTTTAAATGTTAACTAATTAATATTTAAAATTAAATAGCCAGGGGCCAGCCCAGTGCCGCAGCAGTTAAGTGTGCAACCAGGGTTCGAGGGTTTGGATCCCGGGTGCAGACATGGCAGTGCTCCCCAAGCCATGCTGTGGCGGGCGTCCCACATATAAAGTAGAGGAAGATGGGCACGGATGTTAGCTCAGGGCCAGTCTTGCTCAGCAAAAAGAGGCGGATTGGCAGCAGAATTTAGCTCAGGGCCAGTCTTCCTCAGCAAAAAAATAAAAAAATAAATTAGATTGAATCGCCACAAGTGGCTAGTGGCCACCATACTGGACAGTACATGTTCTAGAGGGACTATTAATATACTGGATTGGGTTATGTTTTAAAGTAGAGAGGATGAAAAGTGAGTGTTTCCCATCCAACCAGCAGTATTGAAGAATGGGTTAGTTACAGATCAGATAAGGAAACCATCTCTTCTCTGTTTATCCAATGGTTGGAGATACATTCATAACTCCCTCCATATTATTGCTAAAGAATATGTGCTCATTGCTGAACAATCTGGAAAATACGGATGAACTAAAAGGAAAAATGAACTAACATCTATAGTCCCACTACTTCCCTTTTTATTTTAATAAAAATCTGTTCAGTCACACGTGTGTGTAGGTGTAGATGTGTTTGTGTATGATTATTTTTAAGAGTGGAATTATAGTGTCCTATTGTTTCGTAATTTGCTTTTGCCCTTGAATTATATAACCCTCAGATGAAAACACTGGGGCTGTCTTCAGAGTTTCCGGGTCATGAACAATGCTTTGATCAATGCCCTCGCAGCTAAACCTTTGGACACAGCCACAGCTCTTTTCCTGACTGCTGCTCTTCTCGATCCCGTGTGCCCCTGACTTCCGTGAAATCTTCTCCCTGGCACAATCAACACCCCCTTCCTTTCAACCAACTAATCTACCCTGCTTTTTCTCTCCCCCAAGAACCCCACCTCGCCCCACAGTGCAGGAATTAGAGGAAGATAATTACCTCATTTGAATCCAGGTGGGTGTTTACCAGGATTAAGCTGAACCAGAGAAGGTGGGTCTCCTCGCCTGGTTGGGAGTGGGGTTCTCTGCTTGTCTCCACTTAAGATTTAAGAGGCAAAGAGGCCATAGGGGTGTTTCCTGTTTATGGAAACCTCATCTTTTTTCACCTGTCCTTCCTGTTCCCTTCTTCCTGTCTTCATGGGCCCCCGACAATTTCCTGCTCTGTGTCCTGCCATGGAGGCTCCTCTGAGCTCATGGTGCGAATGTTTGAGAGGATCCCCACTAGGTAGGATCATTGTGTATTCTGCTTACTCAGCTACAAATCTGTTACAAAACCCGTTTCCAATTCGACTGATTTCCATAGTTTAGTAATCTTCCCCCAGCCCGACTCCATTCTCTCAGTGGCAAACCATTGCTTTACGGTCACTTTCCTGGGATAGATTCTTTAAATGACTAAACAATGACACGAGTAAAAGGAGTAGGAAAGAGTCATCCATCACTGATAATTGCCTTCATGTTGTATGAATCACCCGCCGCTATTTGTATGCCGGAGTGAATAAGAAGTTACTGTAAAGAATTGCTGTAAAAATTATTTCATTTTATTCTGAAAAGGCAACACCTGGTCGTAGATCTTTGTTTAAAGTATATCTGAGAGCAATAGTGATTAATTTTATGTAGCAGATTATGGTTTCCAAAGCATTTTCATATGTTTTCTCACTCAGTTCTTATAAGCATTTTACCTAGAAGCAAACCAAAGCTGAGGAAAGAAGGAGAAATGAACCTTTGTGTTTGGTAAATACTTTACATACATAAATTCGTTTAATTCTCAATACAGTATGGAGGCAGATTTTATAGGCTTTGTTATCGCCATTTTACAGGTCAGGACACTGAGGTTCAGCATGGTTAGGTGATTCACAGAAATCACACAGCCAGCAAATAGAGGGGTGGATGGTACAACTTTGCTGTCAGACAAGCGTGAGGGAGCTCCTTCACTAGCTGTATGAACTTGGACAACTAACTGTGTTAATATATAAAATAGGGAGAATAAAAGTTCTTACCCCATGGGGGGGGGGGTGTCAAAATTAATCTAGATCCTGTCTATAAATACTTAGCATGGGGCCTGGCACACAGCAAACCCTTAAACATGTGTGTGTGTGTGTGTGTGTGTGTGTGTGCATGAGTGTGCCAAAATTCAAAGCCAGGTTCTTGGTTTCCTGAGCCTCCACCGCTTCATCTTCCCCCTCCTGGTGACTCAGTCCCTTCTGGGCAGTAAGACTCAGTTTGACCCACTTATCACCTTTGTGTGAGTTGGGGGAAGGGCAGGAGCAAAGAGAGGCATTTCCAGATCTCTGTGCCTGCCACCTCCTCTCCAGCCAGGGAAGGTGCTGGCCCTCTCTGTCCCTGAGCATCTTCTTCATCAAGTGGCTCATGGGGTCTGTTGATAAGGTGGGGACTCTTACAAGCTTTCTCAGATGTCTTAGAGCAAAATAAGTTGTAAGCCACATAGACTTGGGAATGACAAGGTGACACATATGGAAAATTGCCCATGACTCAGGGACACTATTGGTTAGGTTGAGTAAGCCTAAACGATGGCCTCCAAACCAAGTAAATAATTATAATACAATCAACTACAATTGTGGAATTGAGCAGAACTCTCTGTGATTTTAGAATGGTCTTTATTCTTTCCCTTTAGGAAAAAAAGACAGGAAGTAAGCGATCAGGAAATGCAGTAACAATAGCCTTTTCCTGGAAGAGTGGCTCTGAAGCGATGACTAAAGGTCCAGACGTGCTGGGTTTAACTGGCAGAGCCCAAGACCAGGGGCCACCGTGGAGAGAGGGGCAGAGGTAACTTAGAGTGGACAAAGCCGCCTGTTCAGCTGAAGGGTATTATTTACTATTCCCTATCTGGCAAAAATAAATGAGAGATGACGGCAAGATCACATTGGACCTGCAGCCCATCAAGTTGTTGATTGGCAAAAACTGCTACCTGACTCTAAGCCTTTAAAAAGTTCTTAGTATCAGACAGAAACTGCCAAGAAGGGCTGCCTGCATTTGCTTTGATAAAGGAAACATCCTCAAGGTTTTTGAATGCTTAAAAAAGGTAGCACCGCCAGCAGACAGCAACATTTTGTGGGCCTGTTGCTCCTCGGTCTTTTAATCCACTGAATTCTGTGTTTTGAAAGCCTTTGTATGACTAGCAGCATTTATTAAGCCAAGAGTTGTTTTCTCTCTTTAAAAATAATTGGGGCCAGGCTGGTGGTGTTGTGGTTAAGTTTGCGTGATCCACTTCAGCAGCCCGGGGTTCACAGTTTGGATCCTGGGAGCAGACCTGGCACTGCTCTCAAGACACGCTGTGGTGGTGTCCCACATACAAATTAGAGGAAGACTGGCACAGACGTTAGCTCAGGGCCAATCTTCCTCACCGAAAAAAAAAAAAATTGAAAAAAGAATTAATTATAATTTGTTAAACATAAAACTACTTTCTGAATGTCTTATCAGCCTTAAGTAATCAGTGTTATCACACAGTGTTAATTTAGTTTCAGGCAGGAGCATTTTTTCCAGCAAATTTGTGATTTCTCCTAAGATTTGTGAAATATTGAAAAGCCCCTCTGGAGTCCCTCTATTTATCTCCTCAGACCCTTTGGGGGACTAGGAGCCTCAGCATCTGTTTTGCAAGGGTTCCTAGGAAAGGAGGAAGTCCTTTCCAATGGAGCATCAGATTCAAGTGACACTAATGTTTTTATTTCTTTGAAAAATATTTAAAGAAAAAATTATTCATAATCCTACCACTTAGACAAGTTATATAAGAAGAGTGTCTTCTTCCACCCTCTTGTTCCACGCCCCAGAGGTAACGCTGTAACAAAAATGGTGTGTTTTCCTCCCATTTCTTTTCTTGACTCTGCCAATTATATATATACCTACTTTTGTACAAAATAGGATGCAATTTGCTACTTTTTATTTAGATTTTTCATATCAGCACCTAGAATTCTTTGTTTCTTAGAAGAGTTATACAATAGTTGACATTTAGCAATGTTTATTATGTGCTCTTTATTCTTCTAAGCACTTTACAAGTATTAACTCACTTTAATCCTCACAATGACCTAGGAGGTAACCACTTTTATCATTCCCATTTTACAGAGGTAAGAGCCAGAGGCCTTGAGAGGTTAAGTACCATATAACAGTAATGCATATAACATTATATCACACAACATTAATGCAACCAGGATTCCAACTCAGATGATTTGGCTCTAACCCACACAGCTCAGCTCTACCACTCACGGTTGTAGCCCCTGTGCCGTGGACAGACCACAGTATAGGCAGCCATTCCAATCACTTTCTTCTTTGTTATCTCAATGCTTAATGAACATCCTTGTACATACATCTTTATGTACTTGTGCTTTTCTTTCTGAGGGGTTATCTCCTAGAAGTGGGATTGCTGGGTCAGACAATAGATGTATTTAAAATTTCAATTAAATTTCCTTTTTTTTCTTCTTCTTCTCCCCAAAGCTCCCCAGTATATAGTTATATAGTCTAGTTGTGAGTGCCTCTGGTTGTGCTATGTGGGACGCTGCCTCAACATGGCCTGATGAGCCGTGCCACGTCCCTTTCCAGGATCCGAACCAGCGAAACCCTGGGCCGCCGGCCCGAAGCGCAGCACGGGAACTTTACCACTTGGCCACGGGGCCAGGCCTAAATCTCCTTTTTGAGGATCTGCTAAGTGCCAAATATGTCTTCCCATTCACCATCACATTTCACCTTCACGGCCATCTTGTGTATATATCACCATGGTCCTCATAGCCCATAGGGGTTAAGAGACCTGTATTGAATCGCGCAGCTGATCAGTACATGAAATCCCAACCCGGGTCTCCTGGCTCCGCCTCCTGTGTTAATTTCACCATACGGGGCTTTTAGTGCTGTAATCATAAGGAAGGTTTTTGTGATTTATTCTTCAGAGCCAGAATTTAAGCCTAAACCACCAAGATCTGGAGTCTCTGTTCTCTCTCAGTTAAAACAGCAGTTTGTGCTCCTAGAAAAAATCAAATATTTCACCATTGGCTTTCTGAGTTCTTGGTTAATTGAATCCTTTTGCCAAAATGATAAAATGCTCCCCTTTTGCATTTGGGGTAAGTTGATATGAGTTAATCAGACTCTGTGAAGTGTGTCGAGCAGTGTATGACCTATCTAGGTATGTGTGGGAGCAGTTCCACCAGATGTGAAAGTCAAATTAGTCAGCCTGGTTGCTCCCTGCAGCTGGGGTGAAGGTTTATCTGGGAAAGAGGCTGAATCTCTTGGCTAAAACAAGACTTTGGGTTTTATCCATGGTTTCCCATATTCTGTGTCCTTCAATAATTAAGAGTTGGCTCTAGACCAGTAAGGTGGGAGCCTCAGAATTAATATGTGGGAGTCTGAGTGAAAACCGTTTTGATGCTTAATATTACCTGGAGATAACTATTGGGTCTGTAAGCTTAGCCAGGAAATCTCATGAAAAGAGTTCCTTTGTTGATATATCAGCTCCTGTTTTATTGTATTTGGTGCAGTGATCCAATGAAAAAAATAATTTTTACCTTTAAGGTTTATTTGTGGGTTGGACCCAGAAGCAAAGGAACTCAATACTGAGAAAGGACCAGGAGAAAAATGAATTAATGAAGCCTCTGCAAAGCTCTGAGTGAAGAATGCTATGGTGGCCATCCATGGTCTGCCCTGCCCAGTGCCCTTCATCCACACACACAGTAAATCTCTTGCTTTTGGAAACCACATCTCTCTGATACTGATCTTATGGTTTGGATGGAGATGGCACTACTCCCTGGCTCTAATGGGGACTCAACTCCAACCACTGAGAACACCACATCTTTCTGGCCATGGTAACTAATTCTGGGGTGGGCCCTTGACTAATGCCAGATGAAACAGAGACAAGCCTGAACATCTTGTTCAAATTCTTGGGAGAGAGATCATTTCTTTCTGTTGGGATTGCTAAGCTGGCAGAATGTACACCTAGAGCTGCTGGAAACCATCTTGCCACCACAGAAGGAGAACCTGCCACAGAAGGAAGCCAACATAAAGGAAAGCAGAGCCAGGGATGGGTAATAATTCCTGATGACACCCTATGAGTATCTGGATCCAGGCGTACGCGAATCCAGACTACTCAGGTGTTTGTTATATGAACAAATAAAGTCATTTTTTTTTTTGTTCCAGTCAGTGTGAGATTTTTAAAAATCTCCAAGAATTTGAAATCTAAATATTCTATACCCAGAAATGAAGAACCTATCAATGTATAAGTTTATAGCCTGGAGAAATGTCAGAATATTCTGTTCATTTTCATGGTGTTACAAAAAAGAAAAATATCTCAGTGATGAGACTGTTTCCCTGTTGGCTGGTTTCCAAAATATGTCAGGATGAGAAATCATATTATTCTTTTTCTCGCTCCCTAATGTGTTTCTGACAACCACATGGTGTTCAGATAGCCACTGTTCATGTACAAATTCCCTCCCTGTCTGGCCAACCTTATCGTGCTCAGTCGTATCTCTGTTTTGCAAAGACTAGGTGTCCCTTCTCCCTCTTGTCTTTGCTCTACACATCCCATCTCTTATCTGGAGCTCTGTGGAAGCCAAGTTTCTCTTTTCAGATGAGCATCTCCCCACACTAACATATGAATCACATTGACATTACAGATTGTCCTTACCCTCCAGGTCTCGAAGAAAAGAGAAGGCTAGGAAGGCTTAAGTAGTTGTACGGGTGGCAAACTACGGAAAGAGAAATGAGACTGCTGAGCCCACAAATGCAAACAGAAGTTCACTTCAGCCCTGTGTTAGAAGGATCAAACAAGAGAGCAAGTTCGTGCTGTCCATCTGTTACCAGGAGCCATATCTTAGACCCCCGATGTAGGATTGTAAAACAGAGTGGGCCCAAGGCCAAGAGGGCATTGAAACTGGGATTTCCCAATTCCAAATGTCTGCTTTACACTGTAGGAAAACCATGCTCATTTGGTGAGAATTTATATCATATTCTGTACCAGTTTGCAATGGTCAGATGAGGCCCAGCACTGGCCTGAGCATCCCTAGATTAGAGATTGAAAACTCCACTGCCCGTGGGTGCCAGGAAGCTGGCAGGGTTGGGTGAAGGGGACTGAGTGGGGCCTGAGTACTCGCTTGCATATTTAAAGGGAGCCGCCACTGTTCAGCCCCATCCAGGGGGCATGTGCATGTGCATGTGCACTGCGGCTGCCAGCTCTTCAATGCTTCACAGAAGGGCTGGAAACCCAGAAGCCATCAGTTTTAAACTCTGACTTGACAATAACATCAGTGATAGTGCCAGGTGGCTGGATTTCGCGTTGTGCTTAAACTTAGTTTAGTTCACTTTGGACAGAACCCAAAGTGTCGTGGTTTAGAGCACAAACTCTGGTGTCCAGCCAACCTGGATTTTTGGCTTGGCTTTGACACTTACTAATGTCATGACCCCTTAGCCAAGCGACTTAGTGTCTTGGCGATGCTTCCACATCTGCTTCGTGGGTGGGGTGAAGGGAGCGACAGAATTTGAGGTTAAATGACACAATGCTCTTGAAACTCCTACGCTGTGATTACATAAAAGTGTAAAGCTTGAATAAATGGTGGCAATTCTAGGACTAGAGCTGACAGAAATCCATGGAAGATATTTTTATGTTCACCAGAAACAGAAAGTCAAAGAGACAATATTGTGCAACGGTTGAGGGTGGCAGAAACCCTGGAGTCAAGTCTGCTCTCCTTCTAGCCATGAGTCTTTGGACTCAGTTTTCTCGTCTGTAAAATGGGGATGTAAGGTTGCCCATCCCAAAAGATTCTGAGGAGAATCACATGAGTTAACACACATAACTGAGTTAACATTCCTGAAATACTTAGAACAAAGTCTGACACACAGTCTGGACTATGGGAGTGAAGGGTTATAATACTATTATTGCAATAAAGTTTTAAGGGCTCTTGTGATGACTTTGTCACTTAAGTAAGTCTACACATCTCTGGAACTTGTGGTTTACATTATACTAACTTTAATAACACCTGGTGCAATTATTTTTTACCTTAAAAAAGTTGGAAAAGTTTACTTACTATTATAAGGGCCACTTCAGATCCACAATGAATGCTACAAAAATGCAGAGTATAGAAAATGAATGCAATTATGTCAAGCCCTTTAAAAGTAGAGTTTACAAAACTGACCTAGAAAGAGTCAAGTAGATTAGAAAAAAATTGTTGAGAGCCTATTGTTTGCAGTTCACATTGCTAGGCCTAGAAACAGAGCTAAAACGATAAATGAGGCAGGTCAGCACCTCTACTGCAAGCTAACGTTCATGTTCACACACGCTGGCACACGGCTGGCGTGCGGGCATTTCCAGAGATCTTTTACTACTCTCAGAGGGTACCTGGTAGTGCTTGTGTACAGGGGATAAAGATGAATACTGAGTTCAGAAGACCTGCAGACAAGAGCTGCTCCGGGCGGGCGGGCGGCACAAGTACCAAGGCCGGAGTGGGGAGCGCAGCCCGGACGTCGGAGGTCGGCGCGCGGTAGGACAGGGGACCCGCGTAGGGGGCGGGTGCGCTCGCCGAGTTATTCTTCCCAAAGCGTAGGGAATGAGAGTGGGTCTCCAAAAGATTTCGATCTGAATATCGCGGGTGTCTGAAAGAAGGCGAGACTGACATCTTCTGCCCTGGCTCCAAGCGCGTGTGGATGCGCAGTTCCGAGAGCGCGTGCAAGAACCCAGAAGAAGCGAAATGAAGGGACAGCCCCGGGGCGAGGGGTAGGGAGGAGGGTCCGCCGCGGGCGAGGGCGTCAGGGTCCAGCGCTGGGACGCCGAGGAGCCTGGGCTGCAGGCTCGAAGGGCGTTCCTGGAGTCGCGCCGGAGGGGCGCGCTCCCGGGCCCGCAGTGGCACTCGCCGCCGAGATCAGACGAGGCTCGGGGACATCCGCCCAGCGCCGCTCAGGCAGAGCCCCTCCTCCGCACGGCCTGTGGAGGCCTCCACGAGGTCACAGCAACCCGCAGCCCTGATGGCCCATGAAAGGGGACTGCCACCTCGCCGTGCGCGGTCAGGGATGCCCACCTCACTCCCCACTCCGCGCCCCACCTCCAAGCCCACGGTCACCCTCGACTGCCTGCTCCAGCGCGAAAGGGAGCTAACTGAAATGGGATTGCGTTATTAACCGAAAAGGGATGGCAAATTATGGAATTAGGCTGAGATGTGATTAAGGGAGGCGCTTTCCAGCTGGAAAAGCGGGAGGAAGCTTCTCCACAGAGCAGTTGGGAGCAGTTATTTGAAAAAGTAGAACTATTACATGTATACGCACCTCTGATGAATTGTCTTCGCTCATCAGTTACACACGCACAGGGGGTGAAACCTGAGAGCTGCTTTCGCAACTCAGCCAGGGTGGGTGGGAGCATTCGAGAGCCGGTTCACTTGTGGGGTGACCTCGGGTAAGTCTAGTCATTTAATTTCTCTGAGACTCATTTTCTTCTTCCTTAATGTGAGGATTACAGTAACCTCTTAGCCACCTCCCAGGATTCCGTTTAGGAGCGAATGAGGCAATTTCTGTCAGTAAAAGATCTTCATGAATGATCAAGTGTGGTATAAACATTAGCTATTATTGAATGAACTTAAAATTCACTCCTCCATCTGGTGTCTGATTCAGCTCCTGCTTTAGCGTATAACTGCTTAAAATGGAGAGTTGAATATTTAGCTCAATTTGATAAATATTTATTGAATGACTCCTGTTGTATGGCGCTGTCTAAATGATTTGATCAGCGTGGACAGCTGGTCTGAATAACATGCGCCTCCTACAAGACTTTGTCAATGGCTATTGGGAGGGTTGGGGATATATTATTGACACATTGTCTTCAGCTGTTCACTTCATTTTCCCCGTGATTGCCTGTTGACCTTCCGTTTTTTGCCATGGAAAACATCTGTGTTATGATGAATAATTGGCTTTGTTTCCATGTTATTTCCTACACCTAATTCATTCTTATTTAGAACTGTAATTAAACACTATTAAATGGTTTAATGTGGGGTTTCCTAGTTCAAGCTAAGACTAACTTTATTCAGGGGGGAAATACAATTTTATTGTCTACTTTATTTCAGGTCCGATTATTTTCAAATAGTTGAATACAGTTAAATATATTAAACATGCACATAAGCTTGGGAACTCTAAACAGAGAAAAATCTTTCCCCAAACAGCTACATAATAGAGTTTGGAGGAGGAAAAAGCCCAAAATTGTTTCAAGAAAAAGAAGTATACTTGTAATTTAAAGAACTGATCCTGTAGCTTGAGTTCTACGTTATAATCTCACTACAGTTAAATTAAGAGAACTGTTTTCTCCCTTACTGGAAGTCCAATTGCATGTATCATCTCTGTGTAGTTTCAAAAGTGTAGATTACTTCATATTAATTCAATTTGTTGAATCCCATATTACTTCAATTTATTGCCTTAGTGTTATTCTAACAAGAAAGACAGTCCTTAGAGGGGTGAGGTTGTGTAGCTCATTCTTATGCCCCTCCACTCAGTGTCTTTTACAGAACTGAGCCCAAAGTAATTGTATAATATATACTTTGACTCAATTAATTGTCCAGATGCTTTTGTTGTACTGTAATTGTTTTCTATTGGGCAGATACTATTATCCCTAATCTAGCTAAGTACTCCATTGTCAACTTGTACTTTTTGTAAATTGAAACCTCTTCTAAATTACCTTGGGCTGTCAGGCTTCTGTAACAATTTCCAGGGGGTTATCACTTCCCTTCTTTAATCTGTGTAAGATTAAAAGAATAAAGTCTCTTAGAGATAATGCAGAATGACACTCATTGTGAGCGACTTTGAAGAAATGAAGCTGGAGAAACGCTTGCAATTATGTCCAGCCAACGCATTCGCTGTCATTTGTTTTGGGTTTTCTTTGGAGACTCACAGAAAGCCATCTCCCTAATGAGAGCCATCTTGGGCAATATTTAGCTTCTAGTTTCAGAGTATGGAAGGGGGACAAAGTAAAGATGATGCTTCTTTCATCACTGATCACTTTGGTGACATCAAAGGATTAAGGGAAGTGTTTTTTCTGGGCCTCTCACCTCCTTCTCTTGTCCCTTCCTCTTCACTCTCCATAAAGCTTATCTTGGAAGCCAGGCACCATTTGCCATGTGACAGTAAGGTGTGTGTAATACATGCTCTGATAGATTTGTGTTTAGAACACAAATACACGGGGTTGTCATTGAGGCAGGAATTGCTTGCTCTCAGGAGGTGCATCCTGAGCGGGAATTACCAAGCCTGGCCTGTGGTCAGACTGTCTTATTGACATAGCTTTCTCTCCCCCTTATTATCCATATCTTCACTTATGACATTCCCATTTGTTTTTGTTTCTATTGTTGTTCATTTTCTTTTCTAATCTCAACTCATCTGTGCATAAACTTTTGTTTCATCCCAAGAAAAAAAAGTCTTCCAATTTCAGGGGGTAGAGGTGAAAACAAAATGAAACGGAAAGCTGTTCAGATAACCCAGGAGGATTTTAAGACCCCTTTGTTATAACAATCCTTTTATGTTTGAAATATTTATTGGGCCTCTTCCTGGTCGCAATCGGAAGGGAACCCTGAATTGGTGCCCTCTAAGCTGCTCGGGCGGACAGAAGAGTACGTGTTTACAGTCAAGATGGTGCTTGATCTTGGAATGACAGGAAATGATTTTGCAAATACAGATAAACTATTTTATCCTAGAAAGCATGCATGCCAAACACAGTTTAAAGTAAACACATAAGAATCCTCATCTTGTGCCCCATGGGTAGAGTTTTGGGAGAAGCTAACATTTCTCCAGAGTAGGGACAATTTGGTGCAACAGTTGCCTCTAAGTGACTTGTTTTGCATATGTGTTCTCTTGAAGGTATAAACTTTTAGATTTCCATAGTGGAGCAATGCATATCAAAATTGTGGAATTTGTTTGAATGAATGAATGGGATAGCACCTCCCCTACTCAACAGCTTCTGGAGTTTTCATCCTCATGCCAAAAGTTGTGAGTGCCTTCGAGTGGATCATGATAGACTCGATTTCTGCTTTTGGGACAGTTTTGTACTAGTTCCGGACAAGGTGGAGCTGGTATCTTAGTTTCATTCCTCCATCCAAAATTATTTTTTAGTTATTTAAAGTTTATATAGATGAATATCATGGGACAAGATTATTTAAGGTATATAGATGAATACTATGAGAAATCACCAAGAAAGTTTTGAAAAAAAAGGTTAGGGAGAGGGTCTTGCCCCACCAGATTTTAAAATTTGCTATAAAGCTAATAATAAAACAAGATAGCATTCATATATAGATTGACGGAACACAAGAGAGTCTGGAACAGATTCAAATGTATATGCTGACTTTGTGTGGCTAAAAGGGGCATTTTTGATTGAAAAAATTGTTTAATAAATGTGGCAGGACTTTTCAAGTGGATCAGTTAACAGCTAGCGTTTAGGGCATTTACGATGTGCCAGGTGCTATTCTAAGAGCTTTTCATGTATTAACTCAATCCTCATAACAGTCCTTTGAGATAGAAACTATTATTATCCCCATTTGAAGATGAAAAACCTGAAACACAAGGAGGTTTAGTAAATGGTCCCAAGTCACACAGCTAACAATTGGTGGGGTTAGGATTTGAATTTGGGCAATAAAATTAGATCATTACCTGGTTTATGCTATATAAAAATGTAAATTCCCGATGGATTAAAAATCTAAATGTATAATACAATCTTTATAATATCATTACACTATTAAAGATAATCCAGAGGAATAGTTAACAATCTTGAAATTAGAGAGACTTTTTTTTTTATTGAGGTAACGTTGGTTTGTAAGATATAAATTTCAGATGTACATCATTATATTTCGATTTCTGTGTAGAGAGACTTTCTTAAGCAAGACAGAAATCCCAGAAGAAATAAAGGAGAAACATCAATCTTACACATAAACAAACAAAGAAAAAACAGCTTTGACAGGATACCATAAGCAAAGTTAAAAGTTCAGTGATTAACCACGGGGAAATATTTTTATAAGCTGCGTGACAGAATAAGAGTTGGCATCTGTATTCTACAAAGAACTTTTATAAAATTACATTATAAAAAGATCCAAATGAAAAATGGATAATAGATATGAGCTGGCCATTCACAGAAGATAAAATGCAATGGTCCATAAATATGTAACAATGGCCACGCGTATGGTGCTAACAGGCTTTTAGGGAAACTCCCAATTTTTCTGTTTGGTTGCACTTTGGTTAGGGAATTAAGGTTTTCCTTTAACTTCTTCTCTCCTCCCCCACTTTCTGACACCACCCCACCTTCCACCCCTATCACCTTTCAAGATGTATTCGTTCTTTATCCTCTGTTCAGAGGGTCCAGGGCTGTTGGGTGGAGGGTTGTCGAGGGCCAGGCGGGTGACATATTGGGAGTGCGCACTTGAGGACTACCTGGCAATGATTTCATGCTGCTGTTTCCTGGTCCTCGTAGCAGAAGATACTTCTCCTTTCCACTTTGTGATCTGGAATCCTAGTCTTTCCATCCCTTTCTTTGCCCTCGTGAAGATGGATCTTCTGCCTCCAATTTCCATCTCTAACCACAGTCCTATCTAGTCTTTGGGAGAGGAAAAGCACACATTAGTCATCCTGTCCTACACTTTCTACACTTAGGCCTGAGGCTTTTTGGAGCCTTTGTTTCAGCTTAGAGTGGGGTGGGGGTGGGGCTAGAAAAATAGCCATCAGAGTTCAAAAGGTACCAGTGAGAGGACACGGAAAACACGTAGATT